TAAGGAGCGAAAACTTTTAGCCTCTTTTTAGACCCTGTGACACCGACCCTGGTGCCCCCGATTAGTTATGCGAATTCGACCGCTCCTTCCTTTTACCACTATAAATAAACAACACTCCGAATCCGCCTCTATCCATCAGACAATCGAATTCTCAACATACAAAATCACTTCATCAAATCGGCTCTACAAATTTCATATATACACTCATAAAAATATCGCTGATCCCAAGCTTCTTTGGCAACCGCCGGAGCGACAGCGTTTTCGACCCGTTCTAGCTGGACTTGTGGGACCCTTTCGAGGGCTTTTCTCTCTCCACCGCCAGGGACGCGTCGACCGTGGCGAACGCGCGCATAGATTGGAAGGAGACGCCCGAGGCTCACGTGTTCAAGGTGGATGTTCCTGGCCTCAAGAGAGAGGAAGTCAAGGTCAAGGTCGAGGTCGAGGACGGCTCCATCCTCCAGATCAGCGGGGAGAGGAGCAAGGAGGAAAATGAGAAGAACGACAAGTTGCACCGTGTAGAGAGGATCTCCGGCAAGTTCCTCCATCGTTTCAAGCAGTCGGAGAATGCCAAGCTGGCGGAGGTGAAGGCCGCCATGGAGAATGGGGTGCTCACGGTGACTGTGCCCAAGGAGGAGGTCAAGAAACCCGAGGTTAAAGCCATCGACATCTCCGGTTGAGAAAAAACCTAAAGGAGAAGTAATTATATAATTGTGTGTGTGATGGTTTTCTTGTTTGATTGTGATGTATAAGTGATGTTTATGTTCTATTTGGGTCTACAGTAGATTGTGTGGTTTGTCATGTGGAATTTGTTGTGGGAAATGGAATTGCAGTGTGAAATACACGCAGCCGAAATTGCCTTTGTATAATAAAAGTTCGCACTAATTCTGTCTTGTTTCCTGTTTCTCATTATTTATTTTCCTTTCTTTGAAATTTTCAGAGGCTATTTCTTTTGATTTTTTTTTTTGTCTAAATGGTATAATTACTCAAATAAAATTAAACCAGAGTTTGAACAAGACGGAAAAGTCCGAAGGCGAAACAAGAGAGAGCCACTCAGAGGTGGCCTACAAATTCTAAAAGAAAATAACCATAATAATATAAGTGTGCTTGAAATGGATCACAAATGTTCTTAAATATGATTTGTGGCAAATAACCAAAATAATATAGGTGTGCTTGAAATGGATCACAAATGTTAAATATGATTTGTGCCCCGTTATTTTAAAAGAAAAGTTTTCTATTTTTTAAAAAATTGAGAGTTACATTTTTGCAATTTATTTTAAAATTTAGCGGACATTATTCAACTTATCTCAAATTTAACAACTTAGGTACCAACTTAAGCCAATAAATCATCCCACATCAACACTTCTGTTATCATCCGATTAGGTAATCCGAGATTACCAACCTCAAACTACACTTTAGACGGGTTATTACCAACACCGACATGGTCAGCATTCATCCCGGTCCGCATACTAAACCGATCTAACCATAGAAGATTGAGGTGATCATCGCACCGATGTCATCCCGAGTCGAGGTCATTATAAACCGAAATCTCCATGAACCGAGGTCACTATTCCCGAAGTTGGTGACAAGGCGCCTACGTATAAGCCTCACATATCACAAGATCCGTCATCATTCTTGTGGGACCCACTCACATGGCCGCCCACCAAAAGCTACTTTACAAGAAAAAGCTACCGTACATCTCGAAGTACGAGCCAAAAAAGCTACTATAAATAGCACATCCATATTCTTGTAAATGGATCAATCGTTGAACATTTGATATATACAAAAACCCGACACCTTCACCTCGGTTCACCTCGGACCAAGGCCATCGTTGAGTTTTGATTGCATGTTTAACGTCTAAATCACTCAAACTACGTAACTAATCATATTAACAATGGTTGTTAAGAATCACGTAACAACAGTTTGGCGCTAGAAGGAGGGCCTCATAAGTTGTTTGAGGTTAATCTTCAATCATTGGCTCCTTAGCCACAGCGAACACTGCAAACATGTCTCATTCAGATCATCGTGGTCATACATCGCGCGACGGACACAGCCGTAGCGCTCAATCTGCCAGGCATCTTGCGGCAATACCCAACCTGCCTGATTATACCACTTTGTTCCAGAATCCGGAGTTTGTACGCGGGTTCGCCGCCTTAATGGCTCAAACTGTCCCTGGGATGTCAACGACGGCGCCCGGACAATCTATAATTCCTAATACCCCTGCAAACCCAAGGATTCCATCTACCCGACGAGACGGCAGTGGAACTACTTCTCACGCCACGTCTCAGCCTCGTAGTCGAACATCACCTCCGCACCAAGAACGCGTAGTGCGACACGCTGAGACAACACGCACTCCCCCGGTGGTCCCTCATGAAGAAACCGCTGAAAGTCAGTCAGAACAACCACGACGCTCTCCACCGCCCGTACGGCCTCAGGCTCACTCCCATCCGGCTCGAACAAACCTCCATCAGCAAATTGAAGAAAATCGGTCAGCTCGGCAAGAATCCATGGAATTAGAAGTTTTACGGCGAAGAATCGCCGAGTTGGAAAGTCGGCAAAGGGCACAAGAAGACCCTCCACGACGAGCTTTCACCTCGGCGCAAGTATACTTAGAAGCTGATTCCCCTTTAACACCCGAGCTCACCTCGGAGCCTGTACCGGGAAAAGTCAAAGTCCCTCAAATTGGATTATATGATGGGACGTCGAATCCTGACTCACACCTCGGTCATTACACATCATGGATGGATCTCCATGGGGCCTCGGACACACTTCGGTGTCGCATGTTATCTCTCACTCTGGGGCCTCGAGCTCAAAAATGGTACCACTCTCTGCCCCCTCATTCAATTTGGAAGTGGCAACAGCTGAGGTCGGCCTTCCGATCTCATTTCATGGGAGCCCAAGTTTGTTTGGTTCCGAAAGAGTCTCTTGCACATGTAACTCAAAAAGATGATGAAAGTGTCAAGGATTATATTGCTCGATTTAATGACCGAGTTCAAAATATGGAGCCATGTCATCCCGAAACCCTGCTCGTTATGGCTATCGCGGGACTGAAACCAAATTCCATCTTTCGTTGGACATTATGTCAGAACCAGTGTTTTAAATAGCACAATTTCGCGCGCTACGTAGCGCGCTATAGCGCATTTTTACCCGAAAACGCGACATACGTATATAATTTCGCGCAGTTCCAGAAAAGTGCACGCAATTTGCGCTATATTTTGTGCTATTTACGCAATTTACGCTTTATTTTGCGCTATTTGCGCTATTTCTCACGCTATTTAGGAAAATCCTTATTTATAGGCAAAAAAAAAAAAAAAACGTAGGGAACAAAATTGTGTAATTTCTCCGATGACGAATTTGAGTGATTACTAGACTATGTTTCGTATTTCTCTTGAAAAAAATATTTAAAAAATTGATATCAACATAGCTATGATTGACCTTTCGACTGTTAGAATAATGTGATGTTTATGTTTCTTAAGCTCAAAAGTGAAATGGGAAGAACACTTCATTTTTTTCTCCAAATGATGAGGAGATGCAAAAATTTGGTGGAATGTATTAATTATTTTTTGTAGTGAAATATTTCATAAGTTTGATAGAATTGACGATGATAGCCAAATTCAATTGGATAACACTGATCATATTAAGATTTTGAATCTTTACTTTAAACATTAAGACTTTGGTTGTTTGAATAATTAATATTTAAATGTCATTTTTTAGATTCAATGTCCAAGTTATTTATAGTTTAATATCATTTTAATTATTTATTCGCTTCTATGGTTATATATTATTATTTTTGGCATTAAAAGTGAATTGCTCGAATAACTTACGCAATGCGCTACGCTATTTACGCTACGCAATATAAGGACCAAAACGCGACGCATTGCGCGATGCGCGTTTTAAAACATTGGTCAGAACAAGCCAAACACCTTCCAGGAATTCCTTGCTCGAGCTCAGCAACATATTATTGCCGAAGAAGCAATGTCGGTACCCAATTTTAATTTCAATCCGAAGTCATCCAAGTCGAGAACCAATGACAGGAAGAAAAATAAATCCTTTGATAAGCAAAACAAGGCTCAATTTCGAGGTTACCCCCGGGGAGACGCCAATGACCCCGAAATCAGGGCGGCCCGGAAACATAATGCTACCGACGTGAAATCCGGTTATCAAACCATTTATTCAGCTGGGGCCGCAACAATCTACGAGGAAATCAAAGGGAAAGGCATCTTGCCCGAACCCAAGCCACTCAGGATGCCTGAAGAAAAGTTGGATAAGTCGCGTTATTGTGACTATCATAAATCACCAGGGCACAACACCGATGAATGTTTAAGCCTGTTAGTTGCCCTAATGCGCTTAACTGGTCATCCGCAACTCAGGAAGTTCTATCGCAACTCTGATACCCAGAAATAGGGGCCGTGATGTCAAATTGAACCCTATGATGAAGATGAGGATGAAGACCGAGGTGTTACGCCAAAACGAATCCGGTAAAGAGAAAAAGAAGTGTAATATCCCGATAATTTATCGGTATAAATTACGTTTTAATTCCGATATAATAATGTTATCGTTTATTATTTTCGGAATTAATTAAGTTCAGTCGAGATTACTGAAATTTAATTTCGACGTACCGTTTACGTCCGAAATAATTTTGGTAATTAAGTATTATGTTTAATTACATGATTAAACATAAAGTGAGTGATTAATAATAATTAATCATCACATTAGTCAATATGCCGTGAGATATTAAGAGAAATTGCCCCAACTTTTTCATAAAAGCCGTATGGTTCTCATCTCTTCATTCATATGAGATTTCTTCATGTCAAGGGAAACCATTTTCCCTTCCATTTTTTTAGCTGATACGTGTCTTAAGTATAAGATGCTTAGTCATCTTAATTAAGCCTAGGGGATTACAAGTGCTAAGCAAAGGAAGAGCCACGTCTCTCGCTCATCATCTCCCCCATAGCCGTGCGCATATATAAGAAGTCATTTGGGCAAATTTTCGTCATTTTCCCTTAGGAACCGATCAGCTCATCCCCAGCTTAGTTAAACCCCTTTTCAGCAGCTATTAAGTCAATCAAATTTCCATAAAAATTCCATCAATCTCTCGGCAAAGACAAGCTCAAGCACACGGTAAGGCGAGAGTTATCGCACGGTGCACGCAAGCAAAGGAAGCACGCCCTAGTTCCGTATTCCGTCGACCGATTGGAGAGGTAATCCCTCCTTCAGTTTATGATCATATTGGTACGGTTATTCTGAGGTTAATTATTCAGATTATGTTCAAGAAATTTGAGAAAAACCGTGCTTAAGT